GTGGTACTCGTAGCTACTTTATTATTAAAATAAAGTTAATTGCATCATGCCTTTAACATAACCTTCAATCACCTCCAACATTATATTCTCCTGATACAAGATTCTCACCTAACCTAACTAGCACTCAAAGGTAACCTCACTTATACTTTAACATAACCTTCAATCACCTCCCCACACATTATATTATCCTGATACAAGACAATATCTCTCCTAAACTCATAATACATTCGTATACTGGGGTTTCTATACCCCAGACTCTCCTGTGACAAGTTCTACCTCAAAACGTTCAGCCCTAAGTACTCTTTGCAGTAATCATGTTGTTATCATGGTGTTAAGGATGAATAATACCAAACCTGGAGGGGGGGGGGGGATACAGTGTACGAATGTATTATGACAGCTGTAGTATGAAGTGAGTTACATTTGAGTGCTAGTTAGTTTAGGTGAGAATCTTGTATCAGGAGAATATAATGTGCGAGGAGGTGATTGAAGGTTAGGTTAAAGTTTTAGTACCAACCTAAGGTCGCAAATGACTAATCCTGTTGTATTTACGGATACCGAAAATTAAGCTTAAAAATACATTTTGTAGCTTTAGGATTTGTGAGTCCAAGCAGGGGCGTAATTGAATGTTGATAGCACTTCGTACCTAAGCCCAGGTTCGAACAGCCGACCCCCTCCCAGCTATTTAACCCAACGCTTTACCACTGAGCCACACAGTCGGACACGGGTATTATCAATATATTCGCTTATCGATAGTTTCTCGAGGTATAAGCGCATTATTAACCAGCGAATACAGAGTGACAGAACTGCTAAAGTAAAGCCGTGGTGGTGGAACCTCGATTCGATTAATATTTTGGATATCAGTTTTTCTTTAGAATATTACTTATCTGCGAATTTCTAGAATTTGTATTGTGTGACGCTATGATCCATAGGTCGTTGGTTCAAATCCGGCTCGAAGGACCAAATTATGTTGATGTGATGTGATGTAAGATAATGTTGTACTGGAAACTACACTTGCTTTTTTTAGCGAATTGTATAGTAGCTTCCGTATTACGATTCGGAACAGAATCGATCTAACTAAGAAAGATAAAGCTACCTAGAAAAAAGGCGGTTGTTTAAAGTAGGTGGAATCTTTGCCTTGTCCTAAACATTTTAACAAGTCCATCCACTATTGTATATCAAAAGGTGTTTGTACTTTGTGTAGGCAGTGTCAACAGAGTCGGTCGGTTTTTTTTCCTAAGTAAACTTGACTTGCCGGATTGATTCTCTCTAATTTCCATGAATTTCTTCAAAATTTTCCCTAATTTCCCTTTTATTCTCCAGAATTATGTGAATTATCCTTAGCTCAACTAAAATGTTCTCATAATTTCCTACCAATTTCGCTCATATCCTCATCACTCCTACACATTTCGCAGTTTTTATAACGATTTACTGTGGGGTTGCCATCCCCTTAAAAATATTATAAGATGAGATTAAATTCGCTACCCTTTCGACACACATTTTCCGTTTTCAAACGTTATCATTCTATTCTCAATTTCGAGATTTATGAGGAATCATTCTGAATGTTGTTATGAAGTGCTATATGTCCGAGCTGAAAACGATCATGAATTTTTTTCAGTGTTACACACCACAATAAATTAATTTCGATCATTTTTAAGGATGCGAAAATACCTAACAACTAACAACGTGTCTGCATTTGCATACCCTTTGAAAAAGTGAACAAACGCGCTAATTAGGTGTAATTGTTGGCGGTTTTACGTGGTTACAGGCGTGGTTATGAATCTATAATGAATAATTTGACGTCACATTGCGGCTTCTGACATCAACATTTTCAATAACAAAACTAATGCTTGTGCGTAAATTTCGAAATTAATAACAAAGTAGTCGGGCAATCTCAGAACTACTACTTTTCTAGACAGTAACAGAAAAGAGTCGAGAAGTGACCATTTTTTACCTTCATTGCAAACTCTTAACAATTCTTTGTGGATTTTTTTAAATCCTTTTTGCAGTGAAATCTGTACCATTTCCTGGTGCTAATCTAAAGTTTACACGCAAAGGTGATTAATATACAGGGTGCCCATTATGTATGGAATATAGTGTATATCTCTGTAAATATCAACTGTATACAAAAATTTTTTATATACAAGTTGTTTATCATTTCCCATAATAAGGCAGCATTCCATTGTTTTTATTTCTTAAAACAAATAGCGAAAAAACAATTGAACCAATTCTCTATGTTTAATAATAAGAGAGTTGCCCACGCGATCTGGGACACACTGTATACTATATTCTATACATAATGAGCACCCTGTATAGTTGTTACATGGACGTCCGATAAAATTATGGTATAATAAATTGATAACGTAAACCGCTAGCAAATATTTTGCATCCCATCCCCATCGCATTACACACAGTGCACCTCACATTGTATACATGCCAACTCAGTTCCCACATGGTCCAACGAACATAAATTGAACCGTTAACCGTAAAGTAAAATATTTATAAGTCCATTTTGGCAGTGAAGTGAGAAAATTTATGTTATTATAAATTAAAAACCAATCGATGAAGTCGCTCGGAAGTTACGTTCCATAAGCACTCAACTGAAATAGATAAAATGCTAAAGGGTGAAAATTTACAATATATTTCTATTTACCCGTGCATACAAGGAAATTAATTTTGAGAAGTTTATTTGTTTGTGTAATATAGTTCTAAACCAATATACCTTCTACCCTAATCCAATATGTCGCAACGTCGCTTTTGATATATTACGAAGGAGCAATTGTAAATTAGGTACCGTAGGTGAGAGACTTCCACAAAAAAATCGTGCTTAATTTTTGTTCTGGATCCTAATGGAATGTAATGTGTAACGCTAGTTACGCATGGCAACTTGGGAAGCTTTTAACTCCCTTGAAGTAAATTGAAAGCCAAGCCCACATTTTTCTAATTAAGCTCATTTAAAACCGTTAGATCACATACAATTTAATGTCGCCATAATGCTCTGCTGTGTACGAACTTGAACTGTGTCTCATACAGGTTTTTAATTAAAATTTCCCCAAGCTAAATTCTATATCTTGTTACAACTTGACAATTTTATAATGAAAATTAACAGCTTAAAAATAGATCATTTTAATTAATTTCTTACACCTACTGCGCTAAATTGATGTTTTATTAATTGGCATTTTTCGAGCCGTTTTGTTAAACGTGTTAATGGATTACATTACACTTGAAAAATCGATTTTATGTTGTCTACCACTAAAATAGCTATCCATTTTATGATATTCGCAAAACGCCAATGCCGTTTGAACACAAAAATTAGTTCAGTTCTACTTTTTCCACCACAAAAACAAGGTCTCTAGCAAATTTTTTGGTTAATATCCGTGGTTCCGAACTTTTCATTATGTTTTCATATCAGATAAAGCTTTTGCGAGAGGAAAATATTTAATTACCGACTACCCAGAGCTAGATCAATTGGAAAAGGTGCCTTTTACTGATACCAATTAAAGAGAAAACCATTGATATTGCTATATGTAACCTTTCATTAATGTCATTATTGCACATACATACTGACAAGAGAAAAAAATTGCCAAACTGATATATTTAAAGGTTCAACTCTTTGGGGTAAAGTACCTACTCTCTGACTGGTCACAAATTTAGGGGTTTGTTTTTATAAAATTACAGACGCAACAATAATTTACAGAATTTTCAACAACTTTATGATTTCTCATTAATTACAGTTTGAATGAGTTGAACAGGTCAAAATTTTCTTTATCCAATGGACCTTAAAGCTGTCGATTCAAATTTACAGAAATCATACAATTTATAACGAACCCTTTTGCATTCTTAAATCCGGTGGCATGAATAACTCCAATAACAGCACTTGGAAATTGACGTCGATTGAATTGCAAATTTCGGTTATTGATCTTTCTGGTTACTAAAAATTTTGGGTTGGTAAAAGAAACGAGCACTAGCATAAACTCTCTTTTAAGGTTTTTTTTCCCGAATTTGAGGTTTCATGTGCGGGAAATCCCTTTAGTAAGCTTTTCACCTTGGTTAATTTTAACTTTAGCGGCGTAAAAATGGACGTAAATATAATCTGACAGTTTTCTTAATCACAATTTCACTTTTACAGGCGTATCTTTCTTTCTAATTTGTGGAACTGCGTAAAGTGCGGTAAAATGTTTATGGAATTTGCTGAATAGCACTTGATCAAATGGGAACTTCACTTTCTGGCGTAATTTTTCCACTGGGGCAAAATGATAAATTTCCAGAACTACTGGGTATTAATGGACACTAAACCTCGTTTGGAACTTCTTCTTTTTAAGCTCGGTTTTCCTGAACGCCAAATTTAATTACTGATACTCTAAAGGCCACTTTACGAAAACACCGAACTGACCAAACGCGAATCTTTCTGGTTGACTAGAGTAATTTCGTGCAAAGCTCATCCCCTGTCTCTCTCTCTGTACTAAGCATATTTCATGGTGTAAAGCAATGGCTACAATACTTCGTTAATTTTCATTGGTTTGTCGACTCTAAGGCTGTAGAAAAATCTGGTCCAACAGAATTTTACCGCGGGAAGCTTAATTCGCAGTGTAAGGAATGAAACATTATTTTTCCTCTTTTTATCGTGAAAAACGAAACAAATTTCCGTCAAGAGGGCGCCAAATGCAATTTAAAGCAAAGGTGTGACTGACAGCTGTGGCGCAGATTTACAAAAAAACTCCAATCGACAAAATAAGAACTTGAACGTGACATAGTGAATATGTCTATATTCTATTATTATTTATGTACGAAGGTCAACTTCAACATCTTTTTTATCTGGAACGTCGTTGTGAATGTTTATAACGCTATATATTTTATAATGTTATAGTATCGCATTTTAATAATGTTCTTGTTATGGGAACTGATTATGTTTGTTGTATAGAATGAGTTCTCAGAATAACTCCAACTTGAATTATTAATAACAGTTAATTGAAACAGTACAAAATTCGATTGAAAGAGTTAGAGTGTATGATACTACGCATATAGTGACCATACAATAAATGAAGGTGTTCGTCCAACTCTCCGTAATTTGTGCCTTAGGGTTATCCCTACAGGTAACACAGGGTCAATAAATTATCTAACGCATCTAATAATGTAATGTACTTTCAGCTACCGCCTGATGTTCTAGAGCTATGGGAAGCAAACGTAGCCCCCTTTTTGGATACGTGCACAAAAGAAATGAACGTTGATCCTGAAATAGCAAAAAACATGTTTCGGCATGTTCATTTACCGGACGAACAAACATTTCATTGTTTTATGTATTGTATCTTTCAGAAGCAGCGTTTTCTCAATTCCGACGATGAATTAGATCGGGAGCAAATGTTAGAGACGATACAGACGTTAACTCCTGATTCTTTGCAACTATGTATTGATGGTGCCGCAGGTGTAACAGATGTGTGCGTAAAAATGTATAATTTGACAAGGTGTATTGTGCATGATGTTGCAGAATGACCGAAAAAATTTGTATTTTTATTTTGTTATTTTTTAAATTTTATTGTTTTTATTTTATAGTGGGCGGAGTGTTAGCTCATTAGCTACTCTTCCCACTCAACTCACTATATGATCACAAACAGCCATGCCTACCCTGGGATTCGAACCCAGGACCCTTGTAGCCAAAGTTAGAGCTACTAACGTAAACTCATCTGAGCTACGCAGGTCGGCTATTGTGGATTTCTATTAAAGATCGCCCCTCTTTAATATTAATACCCCCCAGTATGACCATATAGGTAATTGGTACATTCTCATATTCAACATATTCAACCTAGTATTACTGAAATTAAATGCAAATTTCCATTTGTCTCCTGCAATTGATTTTCATAGACCGGTTCCTTTAGGAATATTAAAATTACTTAGAACAAAATTCGTTATGCAAATTCCTAAAAATATCCGACTACTACTGTTGTGTATTAAATAAGCGATTCCAATTGCTTTAATAAAGTATATTGTGAACTGATTCTATATGTAAAATTGTAAACTTTCAATATTACGTGACAATTATTTTTTTACAAACAAGTAACTAAGCATTGGATCCTTTAGAAATATGAAAACAAATCGCTACGATGGTACAGTTGAATTTCTGCACCGCCCCCGTACTAAATTTGGCGGAAGAAAGGTTCGTATGAATCAATACTCGAGATCGTGATTATGCATAGGGATAAAATACCAATGTTCCGCTGTGTTGATATTGATTTCTATCCCAATTTTAGTAATTAGGTTTTGTTGCTGGAAAACGCACTAATTAATTGTCTTTAATATTCAGGAACTTGTTTTTAACCAGCCGTTACAGTTGGCGATCCGAAGAAACTTCTTTTTTTTATCACGATGAGTTTTAATGTTTATTTATCCGCGTTTTTCTTTTAAAAGCGCTGTTCAGATCCAGATTTGTCCATTCACGTAAGTTTTATCAGTCGTGAATAACCGTCCTTAGTACCAATTAGGCCAACTTCCAGTGTTAACGTAAAATTCAGCTTGTAGGTGTTTGAAAAATCAAAGATAAATAAATCTGCTATACGCTCTGAGTTAAATACTTCATTTTGAAGACTACTATAAGATATTTAGATATATTGCAAATCCCTATTTCTTAAAAGGAAAAAAAGATTGAAGAACTCGACAATTATTATGTTCATTACAGTCTTGCCACGTTTCCTTATTGAAAAATGCAAAATATGAGCACACATAACACAGCTTTTATAAGAATATAATCAATTTTCTCAAGTCATAAATTAGATCATATCTATTACTTTTAATTAAAATTTGTAGGACATAAGAAGAGCATATTTGCGCCTATAAATTGCGCATGCGAAGCCCGACTTAACGATTATAGTATCAAATGTAGCGTGATGACCCAGAATACTTTTCCACCATCCAATGCAAAACGTACTAAACCCAATTGGGGAATTAAGCCTTTCTACTTTCTAGTCTTTACTTAAAGACTTTGTTATTCACCTATTCCCATTTCCTTAACCAAAATTTTATCGCCTGAAACCGAATTATTGCAAAAGATTTACGTCACTTTTGTTTTAAAGGACCATTTTTCAATATTAAGTTATCCTGCGTATACGCGGATAAAATCGAGATGAGAGTAATAAGGTCTTGTAAATTTTTCTAATGTACAAATGAGGTGAATTCTACAAAATTATCTAAAGACGTCTTTAACGAGCGGACATTACAGAAACTATTTTGTATTGGAAAAGAAAGGATTACCTACAGAGTTTCTCGATAATAACGTAATCACGAGATTCTATTTCAAGATAAACTCTATATTTAATACCTATAGGGATTTTATAATAACAATGCAGTACAGGTTTGGGCAGCGTTTCGAGCAATAAACTCGCATCGGGTTTATGTGTACTCCCCAGTCATTTACAAAAAAGCTTTCCATTGTAATATATAGCAAAGAGTTGGGGTGTGGGATGTCAATTCACTATCGTAGATGACAAAGAGATTCGGTATGTACAAATAGCATATTGACGCCACTACACATTTTAATTATGAAAGACCAGCACAGAAAGGAAATAATCTCAGATATATGTACATGAAAATGCATCCCGTTTGTTAAGCGCTAAATGTGCTTTTCAGAGCTACTGTGCGTAGGTAGGTACCTATTGTACTCGTTAACAATACGTTAAGAGTTTAAATTTAATCATCTAGAACAGCCTGCAGTAGATTGTAATAAATGCGTGTGCTACGTACCAATTTATGGAGAAAGTCCTAAGAATTCTAAAGGTTTTCGAAGATGCCTAGAGGGCTTTTCCAAAGAGTCCTTTGGTCTATACTCATAAGTTTGTGCGTAAGGAAATAGGAAAACAGATCAAACATATTACGCATACAACAGGGGATGTCAGGGAAACCTTCTTCAGGACAAAAACCCTGACATAGCCCACTACACGCAACTAAATTAACAAAGACAACAAAAGGAAATTCACGAAACTTTTTTATTTGAATAACAATAAAAGTCAGGTCACAAATTTCAAGATTCTAGGAAAGTCATATTTTTTCGAAAAACATCAGCATGCATTGTTCGAGCCGGTTGTTGAACGTTGCAAGGGCGATAAACTTTCGCCTAACTTGCTACCTGATCTTCCTGCCTTCGTCCTGGTAAAAATCGAATTACAGCCTTTTTTCCGTAGACGCGTTCCTTTCGGATCTCTCCATGAATTTTAAAACACCACAGGCGCCGTTCACCAGTCATTAAGTTGACTTAAAATCTTGAGGTTGATATCTGAATAAACTGAAAAACATTAATCTGAATCATCAGTTACAAAAATATCATCTTTATCTTATTCATCTTCTAAATTAATTTTACTGTTAGATCAAGTCGTAGATGCAGTTCCGAATGGCTGCTTGTGTGAAACCACCAACAGGACTTTCTACAGATCTACCCCATTTACAAATTTATGAAATAGAAGTCACTGTTCGCAGGCTAATATTTAATGCATCCACAACTCTAAAATAAAACTTGTTACTTGTTACTAAAGTAACCTCTCTTACTGCTGTGACTGGTAAAAGTGAACCACCATTATCTCTTTCTCATTCAAAGTTGCTTACTTTTTCTTGGTAAACTCGATGACACTTTGGGTTCTACAACTTTTGGCACAAAATATCGCAGTGACTTACGGAAGTTATGCTTCTATATTGTTAGTTACGACAGGTAACCTGAAAACAAATAAAATCCTCGTTAAAGGTTTTTGGTTTTATTTTTTAAATAAAGCACTGTCTCCAGAACCACATTTTGGGAAATACATTGATCAGTCTAATATAAACATGTGATTCCAACGTTTATTGTGGTTTAAAATGTTTTTTTTTATTTTGTTAATACGAGTGATGACGTGCACGCAAAGTAAGAAAAATACTAGTTTACAATCATGGTAACGTACACCGTTTATGGAACATTGTACTGGCGATTTTACAACTTTCTAATTAAATCGCATAATATAGATTTTACTGTAAATTAGTCGCCTGTAGAATTTCCTTTCGTGCATTTCAAATATTCTTTTGTCACGCCAACACATTAAAGGTCTGGACCAATGCATGCAGTGAATAGCATAAAATATTAAAATCGCCTGCTGTTTGATTTATGTGCTGATTTTAGTTGCATGTGATTATCAATCTTAAAAATGTTCTTTTAAATTGTATTATATGTTTTGTTTTCTTGAATCCATTTTTGTTCACTGTTCATTTTTCCGTTTTTCCAAACATCTATCACTTATTGTTCCTACACATCCAATCGGATCTTTTGTTCCCATCCTTCGTCTAAATCCGAATTGGGGAATTTTGGGTTTACTTTACTCATAAATAAAAATTAAGGATACACCGAAGGATACATGGGTCTTTTTATTTTTAATGTACTTTTAAATCAAAAATGAAAAATGACGATTTTCCTATCTGAGTATGCTCTGAAAAATTTCCTATCCCAGGATAAGACACCCTTATCCTCGTATAAGCGAAACAGGGCATAATTACACACAGAAATGCCACGGAATTAGCGAGTTCAGGGTGGTTTATCGATTTTAGATGAATTTTAAGAAGGTCTTAATAAAAATTTCTGAAAGATCATTTGCGTTCTAGAAGTATATATTGCTATGTAAACCAATTATAAAAGTATGCCTTCCTGGGTTGCTGAGGAATGAGCATACGTAGAGTAATTTTCGTTTAAAGTTGTATGGGAATGACAAGCGGCACAACCTCTACTTAACTTTATTCAAGTAATTAGGAAATCTGATGGAAATTATTACAAAGAGACAGATAACGTTGAATTTTATTTAATTTTAGTCGTAGTTGTACTTATGCTAGAAACATGTGGGTAAAGAAGAAGTTAACAGATACGGGGACTTTATCAAGGTAAAATTTAATTGGATGAGAAAGTGCATTGTAAACAAGTGCTTGCTTTTCGTCGACCTTTACCGAAGATACAAAACGCGATGGAGGCAGTGAGAACTTAAAAGGCGATACGCGCTGTTGAGCGAAGCGGTCTCGGATCATTTGAATTAGTGTACGTAACGTTCCGTTGCGGGTAATTTTTCTGGAGGTCGGCCGATGTTTTTGTTGTTTGTTAGTTCAAAATTAAAGACAACAGTTACTTTTCTGCTGTACAGAGTCAGTGTTAACGCATTCCGTTACAAGTTATAGAAGGGAGTTTTCGTCAATGTTAAAGTTTGTACCCGAGCTGCCATTTTCAACTATGTCAATCGTCATGGAACCAGTGCTATTGAAGTTTGTGTACACGGTTGTGCGTTTACGTTAAAATAGGGAGTGAACTCCAACAACTTGGATTATTACAACAAAGTAGTGAGTACTTTTGAGACTTATTTTTTCTGTATTCGACCGTTTGCAACGGGAAAATATGTTTAATAAGGCGCTCTTCGCCTTCAGTATATTTGTTTGTTGTATTTAAATGTTTATTTTATAGTTTTGTATGTTTTTGTCTTATTATAATGCGTGTGGTATAATTT